TACATCTTATTCCGTTATTTACTAACTATTTAGGTTTAGTTCATAAAATAATGGAATAAGATGTGATCGAGATCTATTTTGGGTGTTTCTGAAGAAGGCAGTAAGCCGAAACGTTAAATAACAGGACAATGATATAGTTTTGTTTTCCCCTTTTTGGGAATTTGTGATATAATTTTATACGTTTTAAATTTTCATTTCAATACTCATAGCATCGTAGGATAATATTTCGGAAATATTTATTTATATAGAAATTATTGCAGCAGGGGTTAATTTTTCACTCGTAAATGGAATGTTTACTCGTATTGATCAAGATCGTCTCTATGTTTTAGAATAAAAGACACTGCGTTATCATTAAGTCATTTCCTATCTTTAATATTTCTCATTGGCTGTGTATATTTCCTAATATATTTTGAAGAATAACTTAGTCTGTTGATGTTTGTATGTTGTGATCAGTTTAAAAGATTTCTATTTTCAACATTATGCTTCTTATTTCAACTCATTAACCAAAAACTAACCCACGCTTTTACGCTTCTCCTGGATGATATTTAGTTGATAGAAACACGACCTTTACTATAGAAATAAAGCGAATCATTAACGTATTTCTGGCTCAGTTCGTTTAGTTCTCTTCCTTAATGAGCATCTAACTAGGTCAAGTTACGAAACCAGGTCACGTGAAGAAAATGTCAACAGACCTTGTTTACTTTCTAGAAATATAACAATAGACGTCATCAACATCTCATAAGGAGGAAAACTGATTCAGTATCAGTATTCTTCAGATCAGCGAGTGTTTTACGCTTTAAGGTTTAATATTTTAAATTAACGAAGAAAAATAAAAAGCCAGGTCTGCGTAGAGTTGTCTCATGACAAAACGGGTACCAACGACCCGAACTGCAAAACAATACCAGCAATCAAATCCATCATGTAATCTGCAGACATTATCAACATTCCTGGTTTCAACAATGTCAAATGAAGTAGCTGTAGATGATCATATTCTCCAAGACAGAATTCCCTTAGCAAGCTCAGCATGTGACTTATGTTGCAGGATCAAACTCTCCTTTCTCGTCCTTTCTGCATCTCTACCGTCCACAACAATCGCACAGTTTGCTTCAGTTGAACAAATTTTGGGTGAAGGGCTGGTAATTAACTCATATACTGTCACTTGCCAGCTTTTCACCTTTCACCTCATTCTTGATTCATTATCACCTTTTAATTTGTCTTCAGACACCTCTACCCTGACAAAATCACACCAAACAGATTATTATCCTGCAAAAAAGGTATTACTTAGTAATTATGTAAAGGAAAAAGTATAATTTAAGAATGTGTTTTCAGTACAGTATATACAGCGATTGACGATTACAACATGTTCTAAATGTCAGACATATCACGGTTCCATATATTACAACTGACACCATCATATAAAAACTCTTTTTCAATTTATTTCTGATTCCTTCATCTTTCTAGTTTTCTTTCCCATCAGTTTTAAATAGAGCTGGTAACAATCTCAACTATACCGTCGTTTGATACATAAGAAAATGTCTCGAATATAAGAAATGGAATGACCATTGAGTCAAT